AAGATACGATATTGATAAAACTGTTATCAGGGACATAAAGCTGAAAGCAACGGGTTTCCTTCGAAAATAGTAGATACCTAAGTTGATTAGGAAACATAAACTCAGGGACAATCTTCGTTAATCTTCGGCTTTTCCAAAAAAAAGTCAATTCAAAGTTAACCAAGATACACTAACGGATTACATCGAATTTTCAAAAAGTTGAACGTAGAAGTAGCCTCTAAAACTGCTCACTCCACAAATGTTAGGTTTCCCTAAAGATAGAAAAAACATCGGTCAGACAAAGCGAGCTCTCAAAACTCGCTTCAAAATGTAGTGTCGCTAGAAATGTCTTGCAGAACGGTCATATAATAAATGGAACCTTCTAAAATTGTTGGGATCGGTTCAGAATTTTGGATGGTTTCGAAAATCTGGAAATAGCAAAGTGTGGCATGAGAACGATATTTAATCATTGATGTGTGCCCGAAAGTGAAATATATGAAGACTACAACTTGGTTAATGAAACGTGCTTCGAGAAGAGAGTTGGAGTTCTGGTGTTTTAAATTTATTCTACGCCAGATGTTCCAGTGGATGTCGGGTGAAGTGATTGTTAAAATTTACTTGCGTTCGAAAACTGTAGTGGCTTGATTTGTTTCTATAAGTAGAATATGGAATGTATAAGTATTATGAATTACCTGTTCATGGCATTTATTTCAAAATTTTCTGTTAATCTTCTATTGATTGAAAACACAAGACAGTGTTGGAAATCTGAGGCGACACACACTGTCTTCCGACAGTCCGAGTCTCTGCGTATGATGATCTGCGTATGACAGTGACCTGTAAGAAGGCCTGTTAGAAATCGTAGTTCATCCCTATTGTAGTCCAACAACTGTTTGGTATCAAGCTTCGAAGGGTGAATAAACGCCTTGGAGTGAGCCAATCCGAAAAGATTCTTCCAGAAATCCATAAATCTTCTTGCCATCCAGGTGTTCAATCTTCAGATTAATATTCATTATCCGGCAAGGTACTGAATAGTGGTTCATATGATCACACGAAACCCTCTACCATAAATAATATAATTGATCAATATCAATAAGTAAAAGTATAATGAATTATTTTATAGAAATATCCCCATCAAAAATTTTCATACTTTATAACTGATTTCATCCAGCTGGAAAAGGGATGAATTTCTTAGTTTTTTTTATTAGGATACTACTTATGAATTTTTCGAAACAGAAAACAGGGTGAAATTGAATACCTATATTTTCTCCAATTTTAAATTAATTTAAGGCAAGGTTCGAGATACCCTTGAATGAACAGAACAATCAAGTTTTTTGTGCAGAAATAAATGAAAAATACTTTTTTATCGAAATATCACAAATCATAAAAAATTGCTACTCAGTACAAAATATACAAATTGAAACTTTTTTGTGAAGTACATTTCTAGATCCAACAACTTGACACATATTGTTCTAGGAAAATGGTTCTGGTAGTTCAATGAACAATAGTTTCCTCAAAAGTGTTCATAGTGTATGAATTTAATGGTCCTCTTTATGTAAATAATGATTCATCTAGATGCGTATAAAAACATCAACTTAGCCGTAGTATCATCTCTTGAAGATGCTAACTTGGTTAGTGGTTTTTTGGAATGGGAAAACTGTTTTCACTAGAATTGTTGAACAGAATAAAGACATTGTCAGCACTTGCTTTCGAATAGAAACTGACACACTGTTTGGAACCTTTGGTGTAGTAATGAATATTACTGGAGTTTTTTTTCCCAACACCAAACCGTTATTTCAACACCTCGACACGTGTTTCGATACCCAAGTGATCATCTTCAAGAGGAAGATCAAACTAATCTTGGTGATCGAAACACGTGTCGAGTTGCTGAAATAACGGTTTGGTGTTGGGAGAAAAACTCCAGTTTTATTCATCTACCTACCCTGGACAAATTTTTAAGTGAAGTTTATGTAAATATTTAATTTTATGCAATATTATTATATTACATCGTAGCCGTCACCTCATGAAATTGATGTAGACTTTATTGAAGTTGTTTTTGGTATTTATATGTGTATATGTGTATATTTATAGGTGTCTATTTGCATTTTGTTACTGTGTTTACCCATTAGATTTAGATATCTCTTGACATATCCTAGATATGTAATGTAGCACAAATGATAAATAAAATACATCTATCTATCTATCTATTCAAGACCATTTCGCCTTCAATTAATTTCAAATCCAAAATCGAATAGATTTTCTCCATTTCCCATGAATAGGAGAGAGAGTTCATCTTTTTGAAGCCGAAAACTATTTTCATATATGAAAAAACAGTGTTTTTATTATTTAAAAAAAAGCATTCAACGTCTATTCAAATACCTACGTCTGTAGGCGCACACCTTGTATAGCTATCTTATAAAACCAGTTCGCAGATAAACATGCCTGAGTGAGTTACCATTGTGTAATAATTTAGGAGTGTCCTAATGAAGTTCGACTCCACAAATGACCATTGTCAGAATTACAAGTTCATTATCAGTAATTCCAAAGCGTAAGCAATGACAAACGATACAAGAATGTGTTTGTTGCATTGTCTCAAGTAGGGCATGATTGAATTACAGAAGGCAGAATTCGTATAACGCAATTAACCTCCTAAGAGAGCAACAGGGACGGCTTGAGGAGATGATCATATGAATAAGTTTATTGATGGCCCTGCTTTCTCGATTAACATATGTTATTCTCCTATGTTGTTGAAACAATTACATTCATGAGATTTTTCCTACTCTTCATGAATGGGGAACCGGAAGCCATTTTTGCTTGCCTTATTTCAGTAAATAATAATTTATTGTAGAAATAAACGAGCATTTTCAAGGATTTATCACTCAAGTAGTGAATAAAAACAATTTTGTTATAAGTAATATAATTGATGGAAGTTTTGCATTCGAAACATGCAGAATTCATGGTTAATTCATACAAAACTTTGCAATGAAAAGTTATTGAGTATACATCCCCCAACTACACTGAGAGAAAAATATTAAATAATTAATTATCTATTGTAAATGTTTGTAAACTTACCACCTTTCATTCTAGTTTGATTACTAATTGACTTAGTATAAATGATATATTCGAGATTTCCCAGGCCATTTTTAGGGGTGGATATATTTAAAAATCGACTTTTTACATCAACCAGACAGAGATGTATTACTAAAGGTCTATTAGAAAAAAGAATATCTAGTCCAAGTTTTTGTGGTGTGTGCGGAAGTAAAATAAAACAGTCATTTCTGGATGTCGATAGAACAGTTCCGAGTTTTCTGGACAGTTTGTTGGGTTGAAAACCATAACGTCAGTGGTTTTCAATCATACGATTTTTTTTCGTTACCATTGAATTAGACTGCCTGAAAAACTCCGAAGTTACTATACAATTATACACAATGAAAATTATATGTCCTTCTGATCTTCTTTATAAAAGATATGAAAGATTTGTTGTACAAGTATATATTTACAGAATGATATTGCACAATTGTGAAAATGAAAACACAAGTTCTTGAGGTACCATCTTTTCGCAGTTCTGAAATGAATTACGGTTGTGTACTAGATGTCACATATACCCTCAAAGATCTACAGGCGCCATATCAAATCGAGTGGGCAATTCTGAGGGATCACGTTTGCTTATCTACAAGTTTGGACATTTAACTAACCCAAATGAATTTTCAACTGATGTTATGTTTCAGAAAAATGAGGCACCTCCCCATTATGACATTCTGGTTCGACAAATACTCAACCCAAAAGATAAACGTGGTCCCACTAGAACACCTGATAAGACGCCCTTAGATTTTTGCGGATATTCGTGAACTCTAAAGTATACTACATGGATCAATAAGTCCCGAGACTAACCCAGAGATGGCGCTCTTAGTAAACCAGTAACCACGTCTTTCTAGAGTACTAACCTTTGCTTGAAACGTGTCGAAATTTTAAGTCGATCGGACCAGAAACAGCTGAGTTATCGAGGTTAGAGTAAAGTCGTTTTGTAGTAGTATCACCCTAAAAGGAGATTATGTTGATGAATAAAAAAAATTTTGTAAAAAAATGTTGTTTTCATTGTTAGTCTCGGGACTTATTGATCCATGTTACTCTATACAATCGCAGTGTATTACAGAGTTTCTGGATAGAATAAGAGGTGTCTCTAATGAAATTACCCCAAAAATGGTGGTGAACATTTTGAACACTCATCGGAACAGACTGGGTGAGTTTTGAATACATTTCTTTTTATTTGCAAATAATCTTATGGTTATTAGCGGCGGAAAAGATATTTACTAGCAGTAACTACATTAATAACAAAATTATATTTTGATTCAGATTACTTCAGTAATTCATAATTTTGCAAAGTTAGTACTGTTGCTGTTTCTGAAAGTTTAAAGGTTAATGCACTATGGTTAGCCACTATTGCAGCTACTACTTCGAGATGAATTTGTATATATTTCTTCAGGATGGTCGTACTGGTCCAGGATTTGTCGAAAATTTTGTTTGATAATGTCCTTATTCTTATCGTATTTGAGAAACTGTGATAGAAGAGTGTTTATGACAGGAGTCTGTATGAGTCATGAAATAATGATTTTGTCATATATTTGCAAACCCTAAATATACATATAAAACTGATATTTTGTCCCGTTCAAAAGTTAACAGGGGGAACTTTCAAGTCCGCCCTGTATCTATTCAAAAATGAAACGAATAATTGGTTGATCACATTTTTTTCATTAAATAACAATTTGATAATATTATTAAAATCAGTTCAATATAAATAAAGTGGTGCTGCAGGTTTTTCTGGGTTTTCCTGCAGCTGAAAAAGCAAATGCGCCACTGGAATCAATTAAGTCGCCCCGGAGCGCCAATTAATTTTTGTTGTTGTTTTATAATATATGTTATTCTTTATTAAACATGTTTATCAGTAAAAAAAATATATAAATTTCACGAATGGTAATGATAATATTAACAATGCCTCAATACAAGTAAAATACTTCGTAATGTTTTCCTCAGTTTATTCATATTATTATCAAATTAGTACAATATTGAAAAGCAAAATTGATGATTTTTTTCAATAAACTTATTATCATCATCTTGCACTATCGACTACTAGGAATAACATATCTCAATATAATAGTTGTAGAACATCGATTTCTTAGAATACAAATGATTTTCCGGATATTTTCTTTCATGTTCAGCCCTTATCAGAAGGATCGTGAAACTGGACTTGAAATTTTGTAGTTGTAAAAAGCTGTTGAATTATGAACTAATGGAATAGAGGTTTTTCTCTCAGTGTACAATTTCACATCGGTGTCAAACTTCCTTCAGAAACTTCTCACGTCTCCTGCACTTCCATTTTCGACGTCCTCCTTGTGACGTTGCTGATTTTCCTTCCCACTGACGAAAGACTCGTGGTCATGGTGCCGGACAGGGACAACTTCCTGATTTTTTCCACTGCGCTGAACTTCTTGCACTTGACCAAGTTTTTTTTCTTGCATACGAAAATGAGGAAAATAAAAAGACCTGGAAAAAAACGACAATGAGTTCCTAAGGAATTCCAGAAAGTAGAGAGTTGTTTTTATTTACTATTATTACGAAAGTTCTTCAGAAAAGTTCCGGAAAATTACGTGGATCGGGCGATGCGAAGAGGTTTTATTTTTAGAAGTTATTTCGAGTAGAAGTTTGATAATTACTCTGGTTTCATTGTCGAGGAAATTAGTGCAGGGAAAGAATTGTGGTACAGTTTCGTAAATAAAAAATTATTTTCTAGGGTTATGCATGGTTGTCATATAGTTTAATCTTTTTTTACAACAAGCAAGGATAGTCAATCATAAAATTGGATGAGATGATTTTTGTGCATGTATATCTGTCCTCCAGCTTTTTGATATAATGGATTTCTAAAAAAATAAATAATCCCGAGAATGCCAGTAAAAACTCTTTCAACGATATTTTACTAACTTTGATATCTAACAGTACAGATAAGGAGAAAACTGGAAAGAAAGCCAAGAGATATAACTAAAATAATCAGAACAAGAAATAAAAAACAAAGAACAAAAAAACTTGAATACAAAAAAAATAAAAAGAACGAAAAAGAGATAGTAGAACAAGTAGAATAATGCCTTTTTCTTATACAACTGTATGTGGTCTTAAAGAAATAAAGTGATTTGATTTGATTTGGTTCGAAATCTAGAGAACAGTCTGGATCAACCAACTGAAATTAATCATATGGACCCGCAACCGTGGACAAAAAAAAATTGATGCAAAAGCCCATTTACATTTTCTGAGGTATACTATCGATCAACAAAATTTTTAATATTCGTTTTCTATATTCAGTATTATCAATCACTAAGTTACCTTGCAAAGAGTTGATGAAATCCCATACGATTTCTATAATTGAAGTAACCTTGTATGTGCTGAAATCGAAAAAAGAAGAAACAACTTCGAAGAGATAGAAAATGCCCATGGTGAAACACAGTTTGACAACAAGTACAAACCTGAAATAAACAAACTTATTAATATAACTACATTAATTTATTTCGACAGCTTTAATCCGTCCATAAAGAGCATTGAAATTATATCTCTCTTTTTTAGTGCACGTTTGAAATGGAACTTTTGGCGTATAATAAATCGGAAACAAGCATTTTTCCCAATCATCAGAAACGTGTGAGCGTTTCAACAACCAAGTTGTCGTCTTCAGGAGATGACGAAAACTAATTAGTTTTGAATTATGAATGGACTGAACCGTTACTTGATGAAAATTAATAGTTATGTACCGGTATCGATGAAATGGTACCTATTAAGCTACGGCGGTAGCGAAACGCTTCTAGAATAAAACAGGGTGATTAAAAGTTTCCTATATTTCATGCAGTTCATATTTCTCTAATAAGATCACAACAATCATAAATATGATTTTCTAGGCGTTTACCCACATATATTGGAATCATCTCGAGGGAATCAAAATTACTCGAAAAGTAGATAATATTCGCTGATTGTAATATTACAGTATTCATGGTCGCTTCCTAGGGGTATAATTAAGGAAGTGAAGACACTTTTCAAGTAGTGCAGTAGTCCGTACAATCCAGCAACCGGGCTAAGTACCGCATTGCAGAGTTTGTTTTTGGTCAATTTTTGTGCTTTCCGTACTTTCCACGAGTCAATATCTACTTGCAAGCTTGTCGCACACTTGTCTGACACAGCACAGCACGGCCTGTCCCGTCAAAATGCGGATAGGATTGGAACAATGAAAGTGAATGGACAACCGCCCACTAGCCCGGCACGGCACAACCATGAGCGTCCGCCGCTGGGAAGGATTCCAGCTCTCCAATCCTGTCCGGCAAATAACGGTACGTGCTGTGACGGACTGGCCAAGTGAGCCGCGTCGCCGGCCAGCGCTTGCCAGCACTTGTCCAAACGTGCCTGGGAAGTTTCTGTCTCTCTGTTTTGCTATTCCATCAGTTGACAGCATAGTGTCAGACGATGATTATGAAAATGGACGAAACAAAATTGAGTTGCTCATTAAGGCAGGCTCTAGAATATCCAGAAGTTCAAAAAATTTGATTGGAGTCATTCGAAAATACTGGAAAAATGTCTCCTCATCTTCTTTCAGATCGTTAAAAAGATGATGAAACTGTCCCAGATTTGCCCTCTTTTGAATAATGGAATGAACCCATATATTCCTTTTTTGTGACTATTTTCTTCTTCATTCAATAATGCGACGTGTTTTCTGTATAAACTATATAAGTTTTATTGAATATATGTTTTGAGGGAACTGGACGAAATCCTCCACTTCTCATCCCCTACTATGTTTCCCTATCGATCGTTTCATATTTTTTTTTGTTATATTTACATGCTTATGTTGATAAATACGCCAGTATATAATAGATTTCTATTAAATTGATACAGTAGTCTTGCTACATCGTTACCTACCAAAGTTAATTTTCAATTGGTTACTTTTCTTTCAGAATAGATTTTATACATCCCATTTCTCTAATTTTTTCATTTCAGTCAGGGTTAAATACTTGAGTTTATTGACGCCAGTTAGAGTAACATCCAGTATTTGAGGAACTCAACCATCTATCCCTAGCATATCTTTAATACCAGTAGGAGTTGATTTTTGTGATCTTTCATTTATACTACAAATAAAGCTGAGGTATAGTCGAAGTAACCTTTATTGTGAATAATTAAAGCTATTGGCATCTTAAAAGCCAAAAAAACCAATACAGAGAAATAACGCCGCTGCGAACTAGGCCACGTGGACTGAGGAATTGGCGGTTCGTATTGGAAAATTTTTACTAACCGAGTTTTATGATTGGTTGAAGAGTAATAAAATTAAATTTGAAGTCATGCTACGGTGACGAATAGAATGTGGGGATGAGTATCGCCGTTATGTCGTCAATGTTCAGTTCAGGAACTGATCGCGATTTGAGTGTTGAAATTCGATATTGATGCAGTTATAATTACCTGAAATTTTTGTTATCTGTTCAAAATGTGGCGTCCTTGGACAAGTACTAATAGTAATAACGAGTGTGATAACAACGCACTTATTCCTGTGTAGTGATTCCAATAGCGATGGTGAACAATACCAAAAAGAGATACATTTGAATAGGATTCGGATGCATTTGAATATTGAAACACAGCGTTTTCGTAAAAGTAATTCAATTGTTGGATGTTTTTTTCATCATGCTTTAATTTATTTTTGAATGATACCTGGCTTTTCTTGCGAAAAATTTCTTTTTCTTCTTGATATTGAGTGAGGTCTGGTTCATCTTCTTTATGTCTCTTTTCACCTTCAAACAGTACAGGACGGTTTTGATGAAAAGGTAAAAATTCACAACTTGGATAATCGTCAATGGAATAGATCTAAATAATAATTCCGTCTTGTTTCCGTTAGCTGGAAAAATACAATAGTGTATTCATAAATAAACAAATAATAATAATACAGGATACACAATTCATCATTCAAAAATGTGATAAACTTCACTAGCCTCAGTACAAAACCATCCACTTCTATGTTTTCATTTGTTAGCTGAGTATTTTCCGGGAAAGATTAGGCAAGTTTTCTTAATTTTGAAAGTGTGTTACGTTTCAATAAAATAAAATATTTTCTAGAATATCACAAGCGTATCAAAGATCGAAAAATCACCGGATCGAACTGACCCTCCATACCTCTTTCAATTCCACATTTTGTTACACCCATTTTTATTTCAATTACTTCAGGTAATACGTTCACAAAATGGAAGAGAACCATTAGGAGAGTGAGAATCAGTGGTGAACCCCATCCGTGTAAACTGTATGACAGAAATCTCTTGAATTCTTTCTTCCTCTTCTCGGTGTATGTCGGATATTTGGTGGAGAAACTGCGAGAAAAAAATAATTGAAGTTTGTGTAGTGGATTCATAATTATTATTAACATTCTTCTAGTATTGTTAACAGGAATACAGAAGTACTGCACTATTCCTATTGTTCCATCTCTAGTAATTTATACCACAGTTGTAGATGAAATAAACCTGCAGACCATGGTCAACAAATTCTGAATAGAGCTTTGACACATTACGGTCTCCAAACATCATCGCTTCTCAAATATTTTAACTCGACACCCAAATAGTAAACAGCTCTAATACGAGGATTTGGGCCATGTGGATATGTAGTTGGTTAGTACCTCGAGAGGCAGAAGAAACGATGACAAATATGTTGTTTGACGTTCGCTTTAGCCTAGTTCGAAGAATGCTACTCTGCACTAGCAAGTGGCCAAATAGCCTGAAACCGGTCTGCAAATGTAACACATAATTGAAAATCGCCAACAGCATATGCAGGAATTACTTCTGTGAAGGATCCTGCACTAACACCTGTCGGCTATAATCCAATATCATTCGTGGTATTAGCCAGGGGAGTAGTTGTTTTCTGAGGTGTCAGTCCATAAACCTATTGTGTAGGTAAAGGAAGACTGGCCTGAACGAATTGTTCCTTTAGATAATATGATTGCCCATGTAATACAGGAATAAATAGTCCGAAACCGGTCTGCAGGTGTGTTCCAATAAGTAAAAGTCAATTCCGACAGTTGTAACGCCAACAACATATGCAAGAATTACTTCTATAAAGAATCCAGTGCAGGATTCATAATAGTCAAATAGTCAGGTAATGTATTCATATGTTGTTACACTTTATATAATGGGCTTGTTTCATGATTTTTGGTTTACAGTTCATTTGGTAGTAATTTCAAATTGAAAAATTGTGTACTTTGTTTCAGCTCTCGAAATAGCGTTGTTTTCCCGTTATTAATTATTGAAAATTGGATTTTCTAGGCTAGTGACGTCACGGGCCTAGTACCGCTTCTTGTTCGATTGACCAATAGGAACAATACAAATAATGAACATTGCCAAATTGTAAAATTCACGGAGCGTATAAACAGTTTCTGATTCATTTGTGATTCAAAGTAAAATCACACTCACTTCAGACAACTAAATCTGAGAAGAAAGTGTAAGAAATGCATTGGAAGGGAGAATTAATTTATACATGGGATCCAAATAACACAAAACGCAATAAAAACGTTATTTTTGAAATATCTCCGGCAGTAGACATTTTCATGTTGATGTCACAGAAATTTTAATAATGGAAGTGTATATAAACCCGTTAACGTTCAAATTTATGAAAAAATTCTCCACATGAAATGAAATGTACTCGAAAATCATGGTTCGAAGGCTTATGAACCCTAATAAAATAAATCAATTGGTGGCATTCATGCCACCCACCAAAAATAAGAAATTCAACGTTATATATCAGCTATATTGCCACCCAGTCAGCTATCTCTCTTGAATGTATGAGACAATATACTCTTTCTAATGTTTCATAACTTCGTACCTATTTTAGTTAAAATAATTGGCATTTGGCAACACCGCTGTAGACACGATCAATTATATTCGTCAACAGACACGCGGCCAATTTAAACTCTTGCTTCTCGAATTTTTCTTTTTTCTGCCAATATAAAGAGGTATTGGGACCGATTAGGCTCGATAAGTATAATATACCCCTTACTCGATCAGTCTATAAGCAAATCAGTATTATTTTCAATAGCATGAAACAAGCCCATTGATTTTGTCGTGATTAAGTATATGTTTTTTAACAAGTTTGTATCCATTTAAAAAAATCAATGTCAATTCTTACCTAAAAGTCCAGTAGATATCAAAACAAATGATCTGCAACCAAACGAAACAAGAAAATCCAAGGTATATAATTGAGAAGCCTGAAAATATCATCACAATGTCAGAGTGGTTGAAAATCTAAGAATTCTTACTTTCATCAATGTTTTACTTGAAATACCGTACAATGTACATCTGATAATTGTACATCCAAAAAGGATGTACCCTGTCCTTGTGTCGTTTTTTCTCAAAAGTTTCCAAAAGCACGTATACCAACTACATGAATAGTATAAGATTTACTCTAACTTCTGAAATTATGAAAAAAAAATTGATCGCAGAACATACAAATCCTTAATTTGTATATTTTTATGCGTTAACATGGTATTATATCTCTCACAATATTACAAAAATATCAGTGGTAATTTCTCATTTCAAAATCAATTTTCCTAGTGTAACATGCTATGTTATATTTCTTGTATTTCACAATCATATGACAAGAAATTCATATCAAGATTATTCATACTCAGTCTTTACTATGATAGTTTTGGGCTTCCTGCTAAATATTCCAAAAGAATACTTATCAAAATTTCTGAAATTGACAAATTATAGATAACTTGCCAATTCTCAAAAGTAAATAATGAAGTATGTTTATGTATTACATAAACATAGTGTTAGGTATGTAATACTACATCATTTTTACAACTGGGATATAACATATATTTTCATATTTCGTATACTAACATATTTTGAATATACAGTAAAATACATTTATAGCTGTTTTTTGTAATTGTTATTGAAGGGTAGAACTGATACATTCATATTCTAGAAGACTTTCAGGTCGTTGAAGTTTAAATATTTTTTTGAAATGTATTATGCACATAGTATATTTCAGAAGCTATCAATTTCAAATGTGATACACAGCATTATGTTATCAGGTGTCCATGAAAGTAAAATATAACTATGGTGATACTTTCTTAGAGTGCACATTTATCATTCTGTGCTAGCTATCAATGATTTTGGTTCAAAATCTATTGGCTTTCAAATCTTTAGTTCTTTCTCATTGTATAATTCCTCATTCTATTGAAACCATCGAAAACTATCGAAGTCTGATGCTCTGCAGTCTAAGTTCTACCACCACACCAACTAAAAATACTCACCAATTATCTTGCACAACAATTTGTTCTTCTTATAGTGCAGTTTCGTCTTGAATGTTGTGAAAACAATGAGTGCATAAAGAATGAATATGGCCAAGCAGAAGCTGACCAGAGTTTTTCCGAATACTTTTCTGGTTTCTCCCGCGAAAATGTAGTAAGCCATGGTCACTACTAGAAAAATGTCGGAAACAACCAAAGTCCACCTGTTCAGCTGGAATTTCGTTTGGAGGGGCGGGTTAGAATCCATGATGATTCCGAAGTATCTGTGATTCAGCACGGCTTTATTTTTCGTAGCGTGTTCGATGCAGTAAGTCTGTTGGGTTAAAGGATAAGTTTCGCCGGAGAGTTTGTTGTGGAAATTTCCCTTTTCGTCTAGAAAAAACTGCGAAATTCGTCTGTCGAGAAAGACCTTTCCAGGGTGACCGTGAATTATGGCAAAATCATCTGTAATCATGAAAAAAATCTTCTAACTTTAAAATTCTTGAAGTCATCTGAAATGCTGACTACTTTGAACATTTTTGGGTAGGCCAAGTTATAGACAAAAAAAATGGAATTAAAATATAAAATACCATGGAAATACGGTAAACCTGTGGTATGGGACTTCACTTGCGTTGGTAACAACTATCTGTTCCATCCAGTAGCGGTTGAAATTTTTGGTGTTTATTGCCCGGAGTCTCTGGCAGATCACCGTTCTACCTCTTTTTGATAGAAAGAATTAGTATTGCTATTCAACGTGGCAATGCTGCTTCGGTCCTTGGAACTATTCCTCCTTCACATAATTTTGATGGGATCATGCATTGCCCTAATTTCAGTACGAAACTGAAATATCTTCGAAACGAGCCGAGATATGTGGCTATTCATTAGTCCCCTGTCAAGGTTAATTCACAAGTGCTTGATCCACCTTCTTCTTTTTCAGTGCGGTCAATGGACTTAGGTCATTCTTGCCCCCCAAATATGCGTTGCCGTCCTCGTAGTTCTGGTTTCCTTTCAGTAGAAGAGCTTCGTGAAACAAGAGCCGAATCGATCCCTCTACGAAACCCAGTTTCACTTGGAAGGATCGATCGCAGCTCGAGAAATGGTTCTTATGGAGATTATGTGAAACATGTTCTTCCTTTCGAATCAGTAGAGAGTTGTCCTGAAAATCTAAAGAAGAAAATTGGATTGGATAATTTAGGAAACATTTGCTACATGAATAGCATTTTACAAGTGTTGTTCATGACGAATAATTTCAAGAACGAGGTTTTAATGATGAACGAGACCGAGAATGTTCCCTACTTATTTATCAAACTCAAAACACCTGTTCATGCAGCTGCAGTTTCGTAAGAATGTATCATCTTTCCCTCCAACCGATTTCCTGGAGTCTTTGAAGTCCACTAGATACTCGTTAGGACAACAAAAGGATTGTTTTGAATTCTTGGGTTTCTTATTGAATACTCTTCGTGAGCAAAACAATAGCAAAATCAGTACTCCCGACCGCTCTAGATTGAATGATTCCGTACAGTCCATCTCGTCTTGTGTTTGTAAATCTTTTGCTGGGAAAATCCTCCTTGTTTACTTTGCAGAAATGTTCAAGAGGTAGTGAAAACTTATGTGAATTTCTGGAACTTCATCTAGCGTTTCCTAATATGACTAATAACCAGTCCGTGCAAAGTTTATGGTTAAATCATCTGAAAATGGAATTTTTAACAGGTGATGATCGACTGTATTGCCAACCATGCGCCAAACAAACTGACTGTTATAAGGAAACAAGTATAGCTGAGGCACCAGTCAATCTAATAATAATACTGATGAATTTCAAACAAGACTCAACCTCTGACGGAAGCAAGAAACTCTTTCGAAGGTTCAAAATAGATGAACATTTCAATTTAGCAGACCACTGTTACAATATTCATGCAGTCGTTGTTCACTGTGGTTCTGGCGTTGAATTTGGTCATTATTACGCCTTGGTCAAAGACGAAACGGACTGGTTTAAGTTTGACGATAGTCATGTCACGAAGTGGTCTAGCGATGTATTGAATCTATTGGAGCCTTTGGAGATACGCTACATTTTATTTTATGAGAGAAAGGACATTGGCAGATCAAGATCTTCAGACGATGTGGTGATGCAGGTTTTTCCGGCTTTTCCTGCAGCTGAGAAAGCAAATGCGCCAATGAAATCAATGAAGTCGCTCCGGAGCGCCAATTAATTTTCATTGTTGTTTTTATTTTTATCGTTGTTTTCAATCAAATAATTATGAAATCAAAATATTTTGAATTGTATTTTTGAAATAACAAACTTCACCTAAAAGTCCATAATTTTTGGTATTTTTTGGTGAAACAAACGGTTGAGGTCTTGTAATACATCAATAGATAGGTCTTTCATTTCTTTATATACTGGTTCGTTTTTCGAGTTCGGAAAAGCTGTTCAAACATTTTATCATTCCGGTTTATCCCAATAAATGTTCTCACTATCCACTTCCTGACAGAAATGTTGTTTCCCTGATGAATGTATTTTTTTTTGTCAAGAATAATAAACTAGCAAAATATTCGTTGTTGGTCTTGGCTATCTTGTTGAAGCTACATCTGTCAAATTAGTTATCATTTATTCAGTCTGGTCTACCAAATCACCATGGACGGATATAGCATTCAGCAACACGTGCAAATAAAAAAATTGTTTTATAAAAATGGTCGTTTTGTTCGAGCAACGTATCGCGCACTTGTTCAATTTTACGATCGCCATAATCGTCCTTCCGAGAGGACTATTCGCAATGTGGTGGATAAATTAGAGTTCACTGTTTCGATAAACGATCGACTAACACCCGTACGTCAATGGAACGGCGGGATCTGCCTAGAACATCGCTGCTGTCTGTGAGCGTGTGCAGGATAATCCGAGGAAGTCAATTTCACGTCACTCACAAGAACCAATCGCAGACTTGGGCTTGCACCCGTACAAAATTCAACTGACTCACGAACTGAAGGTAAACAACCATAGACACCGACATTTGAATGGGCAAAGCCCATTCAACGAGCAGCTGGCAACTGCTCGAAAAATCATTTTCAGCGATTAGGCCCATTTCTGGATAAATGGATAAGTGAACAAACATAATTGTCTAATTGAGATCCAAAAGCGTCCGATGCATCCCGAAAAAGTCACTGTTTGGTGTGGATTTTGAGCTTTGAGAACGACGTTGGCCAGACCATTACTGTCGTCGTAAATGTCTGTTTTGTCCTCAAAATGGAATGAAGCGAATTCTCAGTATAGTCGAAGTAAACGATATTGTGCACATTTAAAGTTGGCGGCACTCTCAAAGGTCAAAAAAACCAATACATAGAAATAACCCGCAGCGAACTAGTCCACATGGACTGTAGACTTGGCGGTTCGTATTGGATCATTTTTACTAACCGAGTTTTATGATTGGCTGAAGAGTCATTAAATTAAATTTGAAGTCATGTTACGGTGACGAATAGAAATCGGGGAATACGGGGATGGTTATCGTCGTTGTGTTCAGTTCAGGAACTGATCGCGATTTGAGTGTTAAAATTCGATATTGGTGCAGTAATAATTACTCAAAATTTTTGTTATCTGTCCTTGTACAAGTACTAATAGTAATAACGAGTGTGATAACAACGCATACTTTTTCCAGTGTAGAGATTCCAATAGCGATAGTGAACAATGCGAAAAAAAAATTAAGATTCGGATGCATTTGAATATTGAAACACAGAGAGTAAGTTTCAATGTATATAAAAATCTACATCTCAAGTTTGGTTTCGAGGGAAACAAACCATTACACCCAATAAAATCATTGAAAAAACATTATACGACTGTTACAAAAGCAATGAGATTTCTACAACTGAAATCAAAAGAAACAAATTGAATACTTCCGACCGTAACGTGAGCTGCTGTGACAAAACTCTTCAGAATTCGTTAAAGAAACTAGGATTTAGATTTGAAATAATAAACAAACATCAAGCAGTTATGGAAAGCAGAAGAATAGTGGAATTGGGTTAGAAATACTTGAAAACTGCAATGTTGACTATCATAAGAACATGGAAGCTAATATTTTCGAGGAATGGTTTGAAAACACATTGATCCCAAATTTGGATGCGAATAGACTATTAAGGTCCGCACTGTATAAGTTATTCGAGATGCTCACATTCATAGATCTCAAGGTGAACTGTCCTTTGGCTTTTAAGGTCAAACTTCTCAAAACTCAATTCTGCGTCGATTACCTACGTGATATTGATCTAGTTTCGTAAGAGAAATATATCCATTTTTCTTTTGAAATATCCAACAAAAGTAAATATTTGTCTTCATGATTTATTATCACGTCACTTCGGCAAATTAGCTGAAAGAAAAACACATTATTGATTCTATTAATAATCGTGTTATTTCAAGGAAAAATTCGTTGAGTACGTTTTCTCATGAATAAGAAACAAAAATTCTAATTAAAATCGAAGTACGAGTTCGAAAACGTACACAATAGTTATCAGTCAGCCACCTATGAAATGTTTTCTACAGTATCTCCAATTTTCATAGAAAATAAAGACATATTAATATCATATGTTTCGGCCTTCGGTTGAATTCTCACTTCCAAACTGGATTACAAGTAAGCATGGACCTCCTCCCCCTTCTTAAAGATGCCATCTGTGGGAGGGACAGTGAATGCTTATTCAATCTGCTTATTCAATGAAATAAGCGCTATTTGAATCAGTGCAATTTTTCCAACGTTGGTAGTTGGTTGACGAGAGATATGGGGAGTATGGTGGAAGAGACAGAACTTCTTAGATCAATTTCTTCAATTTTCGGACAGTGCGGACGGGCGTTGTCGTGAAGCAGGATCGAACCCCTTTTGTTGACCAGTACCAGCTGCTGTGACGTAATTTTCGGTATATTTCGTCGAATTCCCCTCAATAGGACTCTGCTGTGATGGTTTGGCCCGATTACAGAAAGTTATAGTTAGTCACATCAGCTGTTGCCCACCAAACAGTAACCATGGTCTTGTTTTGGTGCGTTTGCGCCTTTGGGATGCTCATTGGGTTCCAACCACTGTCCTGAACGTCTCCTCTTGTCGTAGAGTATCCACTTTCCTTTACACGTGACGATCCGATCCAAAAAAGGATCGTTTTGGTTGCGCAAAAGCATTTAAGAACATACTTGAAAGGTGACTATTTCTGTCGATGGTTCGAATCGTGGGGCACCCACTTTTCGAGTTGTTTAGCTTTTCCAATACGTTTTAAACCATCAAAACCGCATTGAAACTGACGCCTAGCTCTTCCGCCATCCCATGCACCATTTGTGCATGAAATATCGCGAACCAACGTCGAACAGTGCGATTATTAACACTACCGTTACCAAATGCCTGGTTAATTTTACGTTTTGGTTCAATTTGGATTTGAATTCAAAAATTTGGTCAAAATCGCTCAACGATATCATATAGAAGAAATAAGCCGAAAACAGTAAAAAAAAATCAAATTTTGAAATCATTGTATAGAGTAGAGCACGATATCCCATACTTATTGTTCCGCGTAGCCCTTTTAGACTTTCCAGACCACAGCGAACCCCT